TTCATTTCCAAAGCTGGTGGTTATTGTCTTTGTTTATTCAATATTCCTGGGAAAAATGTTTGGTGTTTAACTAAACAAGTACTCATGTGTAGTTAAAATTTGCTGTCATGAGTTCCTTCAGTCTATGCTGGGTACAGTGCCTTTTAAAGAAGATTATTATATTGTTTGTGCAGAACATTAGTTAGTCATTGCCAAGCAATCTTACATATGTTGGCAATATTAAATAGGTTGTTATGGTCATGTTCTTTGGTTGGAAACCCAAATTTGGACCTTACGATATTATCTTGGAATAACAGAAGCCCTGACAAGAGTAATTTATAGAGTGTGGGGACAATTTGTGATCTGCTGGATACCAATAATCAGTAATAGGATCTTCTTTGTAGATCATCATCCCTGTTAATGCATGATATTGTCATCCATCAGCATGTTCTCAGTTCATGTATTTCACAGTGAAGATGAGCTTAATATAATATATAGCTTATTCAGCACATACTGTGTATAGTGCATGAGAAGATTTTGTGGCACAAGGCATACATGCCATTTGAGATGTGATGCTCCTGTACTTAGAAGCACGCGGCTTGTCCTGAGATGTGAATCTCCTGTCCTTAGAAGCATGGGGCTTATCCTGGTTTTCTGTATGCTCTTTGTTCTCCACAGATTGTACTTAAACAAACTTGATTAAATCGAGAAAATAAGCTATCTTCGGAAGTCTCCTGATCTACATAGGATATCTGGTATATACTTCAATTGCCCGTGTGATTATATTTATCAATGTTAGAAATATTTTTCATCCATCAAAGGGAGATTTTCGGATGCAGACTAAATTGTTTGTCAGAGATTATACTTAGATAGACTGATTAAATTGAGCAAAATAAGTTACCATTGCAAATCTCCTGATCCACATGCTATTTGCCAATGGTCGTCGCGCTTCAGTACTAGTTAGTGCAGTAGCAAGGTAGGAGTTGCTTATATGTGCGAAATATTCAATTCATAATATCTCATATCAATAGACAGAGATGCATCAATTCTTTTTCATTATTGATTTTCATATCTGTCATGTGCAGAGTGCCCATCGATTAGTTATGTAGGTCGTGAGTGCGGTTGTAAATTATGCACTACTCTTGGTGGTTACTAGCCTTCATCTCTACAAAAACATCTAGTGAGGAGTCATCTGTCTACAAAAAACATGCAATGAGGTTACTTGCTTCCCGTCAGAGATTGAGGTTCCTATGAGGTTACCATCGGGAGAGTCAGGTTATCCATCACATGTTTGTTCCAATGTCTCGGGGAACGAGATGTAAGATTATTTTACTTATTAATTATTTGTTTCCTTGGAAGTTACTCATTTATGTTATTGTCATATTTGTTTTGTGAGCTACTTTTGTAGGGGAACGAGATGTGGTCAAACTACTCAGAAATGTTTTGTACCCTTTAGCGCATTTATTTGCTAACTCCGGGTTGTTGCACATGATACAGTAGTGAATTAGATACATTTTTTGTGCTTTTAGAATGATAGAATTGATGAATTTTGGGCCCACCATTTGGTACAACAGTATATTTTCTTCCTTGCAAATACTGTGTGTTGCCGCTTTATTCTACCTTCTGAATGTTTCCGTCTGAATTCTTTTATATTATTTCTGAATAACCAACCTCAACAACAGCCTGCTCAGGTTATTTCTCGCTGTACAAAAAGCCGATCTCTCACTTTTACATTTGTTGGTAAAACAACATGCACACTTAGGAAATATAATGCCTTTGAGACTGAGCTTCTGTGAGGTTATATAAGTACCTAACGCTCATTTTATTTGCCGTTCCAAGTATGTGTTGCAAAAGAGAGCAAAGGGAATTTGGTTTCAGGTGCAGCATTTTCTGCTAACAGCCAACCCGAATAACAGCCTGCCTGGTTAAATTCTTGCACTAATAAGCATTGGTTCCTAAAAACAACATGGCACTTTACTGTACAAACACCTTGCTGCATTATATCTTTGCTTTAATTGTTTGATAATGGCTCTGTTGTAATTTTTCGGCAAGTTGGATTTGGAGTTCTACTTGTCTAATGATTTCTTCCTTGCGATTTTTCCTGTGAATTGGAGGATGGGCGAGGCTAAGAAACTAACGGCATTGGACTAGAACTGGCCTCTGAGTCAAATAAGACCAACTCCATACCTTTTTCGCCACCAAAACCAAAATGCCTGGCCTGACCAGTCAACCAAAAACGATGTGCTTTGTCCTATCACCAAAGATTTGATTCACCGACAAGTATGTGGATTTGGGATCCCAAATTTTCCCACAACGGTATCGATGTCCTTGAATGCTCAACCCCGAGTTCTGGTTGGCATTTGTTGCTGCTGAACAATCTAACCGTGGATGACGAGGTGAAGCCGCATTACTGTTCTTGTGTAAGATGGCAGAGTGCATGAAGTTGGCAATTCATCCTGCAGTTTTGCCAGGACAAGTTGCTTGTGAAGCCCTCTTTTGCCAAAAAATATCAGGACATACATAAATTTGCCAGTAGCCCATGATCTTAGATAGTTTTTTGATGTCCTGACGTCTATAGCAATTTCATCATTTGGCTTCTGGAAAAAAAAACACCCCTACCCCTCAGTTGACTGTTATGGAAAGCAACAGAGTGCAATCCTGAAGTAGTCGTAGCAGCAGCCCTATCCCTCAGCAACGCCACCAAAAGGCGACAGCAAAGCCACCATAGGCCTTAAAATGCTGCAATGGAGGCATGTCGAGAGAGACAGGATGAAAACACCGTTGAAAGAGCGGAATCACCAACGTCCTCGCTGAGCAGTCTCCAAGATCCAGTTTAACATACCGATCCTTTTGCTTACCTTTTTCTTGAAGGTGATTGCTTACCTTATTTGGCAAATGGACCGATCATTGTCAAGATCAAAGGCACACAAGATAAATCCCAACTACACATAAGGAGAAAAATATGAAATGAAGAAAGTCTCATTTGTAATTTGCAATGCCGATTGATGAACAGCCAGATAAAAATGATTGCAAACAAGAATACATGAATCCTAAGAAAAAATAAAATCATAACGGAACCTAATTATCATCTCCTGGCTACCAGTTTTTTTTCCCTTAATTGGCATATTGAAAAATCTGAAATGGCTATAAACGGTAGAGTAGATCACCACCTTAAGTCGACCTTTAATAGAACATTTTGTTCTTAATTCTGAGTACCTGGCAAGATCCATTTGAGAAACTTGAATTTAGAAATGGCAGGTACCGTCGTACTTTCACTTAGTTAATCTAATGATCCCAGAGAAACTGAACTTCCGTTACTGCTCTCGCTACCTTATCCGACAAACAAACGCATCAATCACTGCCAGACCAAGGAATGCAAGATAAAATACTCCAGGTTCTATTTTATCCTTCCGGATGGCATACTACAGACCAAAGGGCAAAAGCAGACCAAACTTAGTGGTCAATTATCGAGTTGCATAACAACCTCGCCATATTATGATCAACAAATCAGCCTGACCTCTTGCATTCGTCTCAGCATATTCTAACCCTGGAGAGAGTGGAGACTATGCACTTGAGCTTGCAGTGCAGCCTTGTTCCAGCGTCTCCTCGGCCTCGTTCTCAACACCTGCCCAGTATCTCAAAATTAGGAGTATTCGAGTTGCAGACATTTAAAAGCTTGTGAACAAAGAGGAACAAAACGACGACCTCTTGCATTCGTCTCAGCATATTCTAACCCTGGAGAGAGTGGAGACTATGCACTTGAGCTTGCAGTGCAGCCTTCTTCCAGCGTCTCCTCGGCCTCGTTCTCAACACCTGCCCAGTATCTCAAAATTAGGAGTATTCGAGTTGCAGACATTTAAAAGCTTGTGAGCAAAGAGGAACAAAACGACAGGCAACACTTGGTAAATTGCTTGCAGAAAAAACATGGGAAGAAGCACGGCACATAAAATAACCTTTGGAACTCTTGTTACCCATGTTCAAGTTGGTTTATTGACCAGAGTCTCAAACACTGTCTTCTATGCATTGACCAGTGTAATTAGCAGTCCAGATTGAAATGCATAGCAAGAAAAAGGAATGTAGAAGTGAATCCTAAAAGAACTTAATAATAGTTGTAGAGGAACGGTGGCTTCCTGTTGTGGGACTTCACAAGTTAGTAGTTACCAAATTTCTCACTCAAGAAAAAAAAATTCTCAGGGGCCTCACAAAGAGACACTCAACAAACTGTGTGATCTGTCATCCTAGAAAAACTGATTGCCTGCATTTGGCATGTGCCTGAGACAGAGGAACATGCTGTCAAAACAAACATAGGCGTCCAACTGATTTCGAATCAAACTGTTACTGAGCACAAGCTGACAAACTGTTCTTGCTATTTGAATGGCAAGTCCATGGAACAAAATAATATTCAAGCTCGCCACCTCAAATTTTGCTCACAACATATATAGGAGAACCATTAGCAGTAGCAACAACATAGTGCAAAAAACGTCTTATATTAAGTTACATAGGGGGTACCATATTATTTATGCAGATCTATGTCAAACGAACATCATGAGATAAATTGATAGGTGTAAAAATGACCAGAAAAAGGACCTCTTCGCCTCCTTATATCCATGAAATGAGAAAACAAAATAGTGCATATTTGACTTGAACAATCCAACGTTAAACTTGATTTAGACTTGTATTCATCATCTATTAGTTTGACCACAAAAAACATTTCTCCAAATAAATTGTTGATATCTGGTGCTTTTTACAAGCCCATAAGGCCTCCAGCCTACTTAAAGTATGCATGATCTCTTTTCTACTTGTCCTTAAAATGGCAATTAGAAGAGGAAACCAAATATATCACAATTATGCTCCTAAGCTTGATTAGCATTGCCACATGCACAAAAAAGTTAACAACTACTCCCTCCGTCCCAAAATAAGTGTCTTGAGCTTAGTACAAATTTATACTAGAGCTAGTACAAAGTTGAGACACTTACTTTGGGACGGAGGGAGTACCAAATAGTGTAAACAAGAATAACCAATCACAGTAATGAACTACGAGGCATCCGAAAAGCTGTGTGATACCTATGAAGGCGAGGACATAACTTGGACACAACAGAAAGCTTACCGCATGATATTGTCGGTGACGAAAACAACGACGGTGGGAAGCTTCTATATACATACCGCGAAACGACATCACTGAACACCTTCTCAAGTTGGAATGTTTTGATATCCAACATGAAAGCTTCTATTCTTCTCCTTCGTAGTAGAAGCAAGTACCTCCCTGTTGAACTAATGAAAATGTACCAAGAAGAATCCAGTGGGATTGTCTTCTTCAACTGCCACTGGCTGGAACTCCCACCATTGTTTCGCCTAGTTAGATAACTGATGTTTGATGTGTGATGTGGAAGCACAAACATCCCAGTGATGCCTTCCCCTGCCTCCACAATGGCTATATTCACGCACTGTTTGAAAGGACCTACGTCTAGTTGCAAAAAATCTCCGGCTTCGGGTGGGAGGTCAGAAAGTGAGAACTCCATCCTCCGGGTGTCAAGTGCTAGCAACTTTTTCCTGCATTCTGTCACCCCATAGAAGCAGCCATTGGTGTACCAGAGCCTGAAGAAGAAACCAAACCCGGCGTTCCATATACTAGCTCGCCATTGTCCGGTGCTGGAAGAGAAGACAAAAGCGGCCTGCTTATTTCCGCGCAATACAGTTGAGTTCACCGTGAACGATGTCTCTTCCATGGCCTCCTGGTCGTCACCAAGGAGGGCTTGCCGTCCTGTGTGGCGTGGTGGGTTGTCCACTGAACTAGGAAGCCACCCCTCGACTTCAGGGATTGGGGGAAGCAGGAGGTACCGCCGGTGCAGGGGGTCGCACACCACCAGGGAGAGATTGTCGAAGGGAGATCTGTTGAGGAGAACGCGGCCGCCGCGGACGTCCTGGACCTTCCAGTCCCGAGCGGGGCCGGGTAGGAAGGAGAAGGAGAAGTCGGCGGCGAGGGCGACGGCGCGGGCCGCGGACGCTGAAGGAGAAGGCGGGGCCACTCCGAAGAATTTCCCGGAGAGATCGAGGAATCCGAGGAGGGGCAGGGCGTGGAGCTTGCGGAAGCGACGGAGGAAGGAGCGGCTGGCGATGAGACGGTAGAACGAGGCGCAGGCGGCGGAGGCGCGGACCAGATCGGTTGGGGCCAGCCGGAGGAAGATCTCCGCCACGAGCTCGTCGGGGATCGGCAGCGTTGCCGTCTCCTGCAGGCCGTGCCGCGGCGGAAGCAGACGAGCACGGGGCTCGCGCCGGGGCTCAAGGACGGCCGGATCGATGGGAGGGGCAGCGCTGGCCTGGCCATGGTCCGCCGCGCCGCCGCCCATCCTGCCGCCCGGGGAAGAGGAGCTACCTCGGAAACCCTAGCTGACGACGGGAGTGAAGAGTGGGGATTTGGGGGAAGAAGAAGAGCGAGGTGTCTGATCTGAAGAATTGGTTTCAGAGTATATGCATTTTACTGTGGCTCGGCTATTTCTTTTAGCAGTTCGGGATCAGAGAATACCTGAACAAAAAAATATGAATCATCTCAGCTAAAAAAAATATATGAATACCCCTAAAAAAGCTAAAAAATTATGAATCGTCTATTTTTTTATGAAAAATAAGTCGTTTAGCTTGGAGTTTTCTTAGAAAACTTTGTTCACACCAAGCTCAAGAAAAACCCATGGACAGCAGGGTAGACAGGATTTTGGGCTGGGCTTTGCAATGCCCGACCTCAAAATGCCAAGCCTGGTCCCAACCCAACCCAACAATATGTAGAGTAACTATTTTTGTATTTTAAAAAAATGAATCACTTCCAGAATAAATGTGATAAATTGTTCTTGCTCAATCTAGTAAAACGTTTAGCTCAAAAGAATTTGAGAAGTGCACCAACTGCTCAAATTTGAGCAGCAAAAGCCTAATCCCAGTAAAAAAATCCCTTGAGCGAAAGCCTAATCCGAGTAAAAGATTCCCTTGAGCGACTCCTTCCTCTTGTCCATGCCCACGCCCATCATGTCGATGTCCTTCTCTTTGGTGGCCCCCCAAAGCTCCCCGTTGCGAGGAATGGAGGCCCATGCCCCTCTCCCACTCTCTCCACCAGCCTGCGACACCTGTCCTCGTGCCTCACTCCTATCTTCACCAGCATTGCTATAACGCACACCCTCACACCCCGCTCTGATGACGCATGTTACCCCCACTCCCAGCTGCACCATGCCACGACGATAGCTGCTCCCTCGCCTCGTGGACACTGGATGCACGCGCCCTACCTCGGCGATACACGCCCCGCCCCGTGTAGTCGTGCGCCCGCCCTCCTCCATGTCACTAGCATCTTCCCGCTCGCCGCGCCACCCGATGTGTGCGCCGCTGCTCGCCAACATCTCCCGCACCCCCGCCTCTTGACATCTACCTCAAGACCGTGTGTATGTGGGCTATGTGTGTTTGTGGTAGTGAGTGGTGCGTGTGTGTTGTTGGCATTGCTATATGTTGTGACTTGCTACTAACTCTTAGCCGTGAAATGCTACTTTGTGTTGCATTGTGAGTTTCTGATGAAATGCCTGAACCAAATGTAGGCTATAGAGAGTTAAGTTTTAGAGCATTTCTAGCCGAACCGATAAAATTAGCCCCTCAAACGCTCCTTCAAGACTTAACTTCTCGATTTTAAGAAGTTAAATAAAAGCGGTTCCTGGCAAAACTTCTAAAACTTAACTCTCCAATTTTTAACACAAATTCATTTATTTAGGCCATTGAGTTAAAGCTTCACTACTTAAACTACTTCATAAAATGGTATTTTGGGCACATAGTTCACCAGTTCATCACCAGGAGAACTGATCAAAATAAAACGACAAGAAAAATTACACACTTCAATAGAACACAACTTTCTTGACTTCTACAACAAGTGCACTCAACACTTTCTCCATCTCCTTATGTTCATTACCAACACTTTTTCCCTTATCCGTTGACTTATCTATTTTTTTTTCTGCCTCCTCACGAAGAAACTTGCACATTGCATCCTCTATAATATCATCTCTAGTAGCTAGTACATCAATATTCAGTAGACCTCTCTGAACCAATAGATCAATGTATTCTTCTTGTCAGTACCAAAAGTTGTAACCTTTCTGCAAAATATTAAGCCAGCACTCGACTATAATGAGTGGATTTTTGCATCACTTTCTAGATTCTATGCCAGTGCAGAAAACCCTCATAGAATATCCATCTAGAAATTTTCATTTCCACAATGCATAATTTTCTATCTTTACCTGTTTTACCAAGTTCATTGACAACTTTTAGTTTTTTATTAGTTTCCCTTTCTTTGTTGCCTACGTGTATTGGTATTTCCATGTACACACTACTAGGAAAAGGCATGCTAGTGGCGCACCAGTTTTGCCTTCTAATGACGCACTACTGGTGCGCCACTGGCATCACGCCATTAGAATTAAATTCTAATGGCGCACCACAAGTGCGCCATTAGTATCTGGTGTTCTAATGGCGCACCGCGTAGTGCGCCATTAGTATTGCCCACAGTGCGCCATTAGAATTCTTTCCAGGGGGCCATATGTACCCATGTGCTTTGGCATACTAATGGCGCACCAGTGGCTGATGCGCCATTAGTGTGATTATCACAGTGCGCCATTAGTGTCTTGCGTAGTCCGCCACTAGTATGAATATTAGGGATTATTTATTTTCTTTTCTGATATTTTCACGGGTTACAAAATATATTATTGGACAGAATTTAGACAACAACACATTGCAATAGCAGATTCATCGAATACAATAGAAGATTAGTCTCCAAATACAAATCATCACATTAGTCTCTGAATTCAAAAGACCGAACAAAGATAGAACATTACAAGTCTCGAGACCGCGAGTAGCTAGTTTGTCTTCACATTACAAGTCGATATCGACCATCTAAACTACCATCACATAGAAGAGAGTTGTGGTCATCACGATGAGCATCATCACGATCAAACTGGTCTTCATCCGGTTCCTCCAATGCTCCCTCCTCTCTCCCGCTAGATAGCGGGCGTATCTAGATTCGGCCTCCGCCCTAGTGGTGTACCCTTTGTAACTGTTACCGCTAAAACGGTGAACCTGTCTCCGACACTCCTCCCAGTCGTCGTAGACTCCGGGAACCTTACCCTTGTACACGACATACGACGACATCTCTATGCACAAGCCAAACAACAGACAATACATAAGCAATATGTAAGTATGCAACAAAAGGATCGGAAGAGAAAAGCAAGACATTAATAGCATGATTCATGGTCCTACTAATAAATAGCATCGATTACATCTAAGTTGAATGACTGTCCAAACCAAAGAGACATACGAATTCATTAAAGTTTAATTACAACATGAGCCAATCAATGTTTCAGAATTACACATCACTACTTTCGACTCGACTCATCGGACAGGAGCGTGGATGAAGCCGCCGTCTGTCGTGATGGTCATGAAATCGCGGTCGTTGTCACCCTGCATTTGTAGCATTCCATCTATCTCATTGTTGGACGGTTGATATCTGTGGAAGAACTGCCCCGACGTATGAAGGACATCTTGATGGATGATGTCCGCAAAGTCCGACTGGATGCGAAAGAATTCTTGTCTGAGGTCCGCGTCCTGGATTGACGACAAGTTCGCGGCGCAATCTTTGAGATTATCTAGTAGCAGAAGTTGATGATGGTCCCTTACGATCGCCCGCATGTGATGGAGGGCGTAGTAGGCATCCTTCTGACCGCCAGACGGCTGCTTGACGCAGCAAAACTTCGTATTATGTGAGAACATGTGCTTGTCATACTTACGAACAGTCCTGGTGAAGGTGCCTCCAGATCTGGCGTAGCCGGGGAGAACATCATCAAGAACTTTCTTGACATTTGTGTAGTCTATCTTGGAGTTACGGTTCGGGTCGAAATACTTGGCCATGGAATATTTCGGGCTTAAGAGGATGAGTGTGCAATGTGTGTCACTGCACAGAACACGGAATGTTAGAAAAAAAAGAACGATCGAAATCTAAGAAATCATATGTTACGGGGCGGTTAAGGGATGACTTACTCGGGAAAGTAAGCCACAAGGAAGTTATCCTTATCTGGGTTTGCCAGAATGACGCCTTCGAGGTGTGAACTCGCAACTTGGCGGTCCCCAACGCTGCTCAAGTGCTTGGCACACATGTAGAAGGGGTCGACTATCACGATGTCCGGGGTCTTGTCTCTAATGATCCGCATCTCCATACTCAGCGAAAACAGCCGAACGAAGGTGTAGTGCAGCGGATGAAGGTTAAACATAGCAAAGATGTCATCAAACCGCAGGACGATCGTATCCCCGATGTCGCCATCCACAAAGTCCTTGCCCTCTGGCACCTTGGCCACGAAAACCGGGTAAGCCACATCCTTCTCTCTGAGACGCCGCTTCTCCAAAGAAAGAACACTGTCGTGCAGACTCCGCATAGCACCGGTTGCAGCATTCAGCATATTTGGCAGTAGCATCGCCCTACCCGCCACATGCACCCTCCTCGAGACATCCTTAGGTGAAGGTGGCCCGTCCTGAGCACGGATCGTACTCGGTGCCGACTGGCTCGCACCGGCGCCCTTGTTAGTCTTTCGTTTCCGTCCCTTCTTCTTGATCTCCTATAATGGGACCGAGTTCTGCTCACAGACCGCCTTCTTGAGCGTGTTGGGGCTGATAATATTTCACACCTCAGCTATCTGAGGCTCGGTGAAGGCAGGAGCTAGAGGCGTCTCCTGAGAACTGAACGCCAGACGACGCCTATTGCAATTGGATTTCTCCGACGTACCAACTAGATTGTGGTCGTCTTGGTTGGGTTCTTGAGAAAGAGGCCTGCAGAACTCGTCAGCGTACCCATGTTCGGCAAAGTACTTATCGACTTTGGTAAATGTACCGTTGTCGTTGTCATCGTCGTTCGGATCCTGTGCCATAGGGTTGTCCGGATCCTGTGCCATAGGGATGTCCGACATAGGGATGTCTGGCAGGTCCGATAGCGTTGCGGCATTCTTGCCATGGCTTGGCGCCGGCACGACTGGCGGTCTTGTCTGTGGGGTGGTGTCCCCCGTCCCCAAACGAATCTGGCTCTTCGGCCAAAGCAGCGGCCAGCTTACGCAGGCGCTGAGGGTCATCTCATCTTCTTCGTCGGCCCCAGCGGGTCGAACCGGAGGTAACAGCTCGTCGCAGCCTGGCAGCACCCGAACCACTTCAACCCTATACATTGTGGGTGGCATCGGATTACCGTGGAACATGCGGTTGCCCGGTTGAACGATTTTGCCCTTGGCGACATCGACCAGCTCGGCGCCCACGAAGTGCAGAAGAGTGCAAGGAACGTCGGCGGTGCCCTGCGAAAACA